TGATTGTATCAATAGATGCAGAAAAGTCTTTGATAAAGTTTAATACCCATTTTTATTAAAAACACTTGAAAGTATCAGTATAAATTGATTTTTTCCTTAAATTGATAGATAGCATTCATCTAAGACTATCAGTACGCATTATCTGTAAGAGGGATAAAGTAGAACCCTTGCTAGTAAGATCAGTCTTGAAACAAGACTGCCCATTGTAATCAATAATATTCAAGATTGTATTGGAAATGTTAGCAATAGTAATGAGAGAAAAAGAAATTGAAGAAATCAGAATACGTATTGAGGTAATAAAGTTATTTCTTTTTTGCAGAAGGTGTGATGTTATACTTGGAAAATTGCAAAGACTCAACTAAAAAGTTAGTTGAAACAATGAATAATTTTAGCAAATTAGTAGGATATAAAGTTAATCCATAGAAATCATCAGCACTCCTCTATGTAACAAATAAAACCATGAAGGAAGAGATAGTAAAAATAACCAATTTAAAATAACTCTAGACAGTATAAAATACCCAAGTGTACAGCTGTCAAAACAGACTCATGAGGTATACAAACAAAATTATAAGAACTTTTTAGACAAATAAAATATGATTGAAATAATTTGAAAAATATTAATTGTTCATGGCAAGGCAGGGCCAATATAGTTAAAATGACAATTTTACCCAAACTAATTTATATATTCAATGCCATCCAAATTAAGTTGCCAAAAATATTCTTACTGAATTAAAAAAAAATAATAAGTGGATTTGGAAAAAGAAAAAGTCAAGAATATCGATGGTAATAATGGAAAAAAATTTAAAGGAAAGAGATTTAGCAGCACCACATCTTAAACTATAATATAAGGCAGCAATTATCAAAATATCTGGTGCTGGCCAAGAAAGGCAAAGCAGATCCATAGAATTGAATAAGCATCCACTTTACAGCAGCAAATAAGCACAATAACTTTGTATTGGACAAGTAGGAAGTCTTAAAATTTGGGGATAAGATTTTGGGAAAAATTTTGAGAAAAGTAGAAAGCAGAATGGCAGAAACTGGTCATAGATAATATCTTACACAATTTACCAAAATAAGGTCAAAATGGATATATACCTAGATACAAAAATTGCTTTTATGAGAAAATTGGAAGGACATGGAACACATTATTATCAGACTTATTGATAAGTGAATAACTTGTGAATAAAATAAAGATAGAGAGCAAAGTTTGGTATAAAATTAATCATTTCACTTTACATGAAGTGAAAAATGTTAATTTTTATATTACACTAAATTAATTTAACATAAAAAAAACTATTCACTTTAAATACATGAAATTAAAAGTATTTTTACAAATAAAACAAATGTAGCCAAGATCAGAAGGAAAATAGAAAATTAGAAAAATATTTTATAGACAGTTTACATTATAAAGGTCTCACATTTAAAATATATAAAGAACTTTTTCCAATATGTAAGAATACCAGCCATTTCTTAATTGTTAGATGGTGAAAGAATATGAACAGTTTTCTGAAGAAGAAATCAAAACAGCTTATAATCTTATAAAAATGCTCTAATAACCATTGATTAGAGAAATATAAATTAAAACTATCTTGCAAGATCATTTTACACCCACCAAACTGGCTAAAGTGATAGAAGGGGAAAGCAACAAATATTGGAGGGGATATAGAAAAATTGGGCCACTAACTCATTCTTGGCAATTGCTAAATGATACATCCATTCTCTGGGAGCAATCTGGATTTATGCCCAAAGAGTTATTAAACTACCTATATCCTTGGAGCCAGTAATAACTCTGCTTGGTCTATTTCTGAAGATAATTAGGGAAAAGGAACAGAATCTATGCATCTCAAACGTTTACAGCAGCTCTCTTTGTGGTCGCAAAACCTGGAAATTGCAATTGTCAAGTGTTTCGTCTAAGGCAATATCTCTTTTGTTTGTTTTGTTTTTTGGCAATTGGAGTTAAGTGACTTGCCCAGGGTCACACAGCTAGCAAGTGTCAAGTGTTTGGTCTGAGGCCCGATTTGAACTCAGGTCCTCATGACTTCAAGACCTGTGCTCTATCCACTGAGCCACCTAGGTGCCCCTCTACCAATATTGTCTTAAGAACAACTTTGAGCAATTAAGTTATTTTGTCTATCATAAATACCCAAAATAACTACAAAGGACATGTGTAGAAAGATGCCATCTGCATCTAGAGAAAGAATTGATGTATAGAATAATTTTACATATGTATACTTATTTGTGTCCAATGATAGCTATCTCTAGGGTGGAGAGGGAAGAAAAAAATAAAAGAAATATAAAAAAAGAAATCTATATCATAAAAAAGAACCAGAGGGCAAAATAGAATTAGAAAAAATACAGTGGTCATCTCTTCAAAGAAAACCCCAAATTCAAACTTCCAGGAATATTACAGTCAAAATCCAGAGCTTCCAGGTAGTTAAGGGGAAAAAAGAAATCATACAGGTAACCAGAAAGAATTCAAGTACTGAGGAGTGCAAGTCAGGATCACAAATAATTTAACAGACACCACTATAAAGAAGTGGAAAGCTTGAAATAAACTCTTCCTAAAAGTTTACAGCCAACAACACCTTACTCATCAAAACTGAATAAAACACTAAATGGAAAAAATATGAATCTTCAATTACATAGAGGACTTTAAAGAATTTCTGATAAAAAGAACAGAGTCATGAAGAAACATTGAAGGTGATTTCTGTAACATTTGTGTTTTGTTGGTTTTGTTAGACCAAACAGGAATGAAAAATCTTGTTTCTCTGAAACCATCTCCTACAGACAGCCAGTGGCACAATGGATAAAACGTTGGGCCTGGAATAAGGAAAACCTGAATTCAAAACTGGCCGCAGATATCAGCTTTGTAACTCTGGGGTGAATCAGTTCATTTTATTTTGCCTTGGTTTACCTAACTATAAAAAGGGCATAATTAATGGCAGCTTTATCGTAGGATTATCATTAGGATAAAAAGAGACATTTGTAAAAAGCAGTTAGTACAATTCTGGGACTATAATAGGTACTGTATGGATGCCTTCTATGTTCTCCCCTCTCCCTGTCCTCCCTTCTCCTTTTGTCATAAGCATAAACATAAAGACTAATCAGGGACAAACTTCTTATGTTTAAATATGGGAGGTTGTGTCCCTATGGAGGAAGTTTAATTAAAAGAAGGTGAGAGTGGTTCTGTTATGTCGTAATGATCCCGAGAAGAATGGAGAGAGAAAGAAGAATATTCACCCAAGGGAGAAAGGAAAAGAAAGATTAGAGAAAATCATGTCACACAATTAAGGTGTACAAGTAACTATTTATATAAACAAAACCAGCTGACACTTGTCGCTTATTTTCATCTGAAGTGTCTAAATAAAGGAAGAAAACTGAGACACACATCGAGAGTCGAGTACAGAATTTTAGATGATCTGAGGAGAAGGTCAGAAAACAGATTACAGAGGTTGAGAAGTACCTTAAAGGAAGGTATCAGGTATATACTTTTCCTAGAAGTTAGTGAAAAGGAAAAGATTTGGAAAGACAGCTTGAAGATAATAGAGGGTGAGAGAGACTTTTCAGGCTTGAGAGGCCAAGATATATTTTGTAGGAACAAAAATTTAACTATATTCTATAAGCTGCTTTAAATTGTTCCTTTTCCTACAAGATATGTAGCAATGACAGGAAGAATTCAAATGTAAGGTCTCTACTAGGGGAAGAAAATAAAACAGAAAGAAACAGAGAAAAGTCAGGTCATGCTTTACAACATATAAAACTTGACAGTCTCAAAGCCTGACTGGAGGATAACTTAGGTAAAAATACAAACCAGCATTCTAATGGTCCCTGATGAGAATTACTTCTTCCCCAGTAAGTAAAGTATGAATGTAAATTGGACACAAGACAAAAAAATGTCTCGGCTGACATCACTGTATGGAGTAGGTGGCAGCAGATTCGGTGTCTCTGCTATGGAGGTCTCTGCAATCTGAGGCTCAGGCTATACCTTTCCCCAGATACTATAGAAGACATAATATTCCCCAGGGATGTGGTGTCACTGTGTCACCACACACAGTGAGTCTTGAGAAACAAAACATGGGACTTCTTGGAGTATCCTTGAGACGCAGGGCTTTCTCATTCCTGACCATTTCGTGCCTAATTCCTCCAGCTCAGGGATGTGAGCTTGGGTGTGCTGTTAAGATTTTTAACACCACTCTCCAGGGGAGAAAAATGAATGCACTATGAACTTTTAAGTTTAATCTACATTATTAACTTTTTTCTCTATCCTATTGTTGTCTAAACAATGCAAAAAATCAATTAAAGACAATCCCTGATTTTGAGTGTCTGCTGATTTCTGAAGTATAAGTGCTCAGTTGAAAACTTCACAATGACCCCTCTCATGCCAACACAGCATAACCTGGATATAAGGGACCTTGAATGGGTTTGTGTATATAGTGCACGTAGAATCTAATTACAAAGAGAATGAACAAAAAGTAGCTCTGTCAGCATGCGGAAGTGGCAAGAGTAAGCTCAGAAATTCCACAATAACCATCTTAAGGTAGATACAACATTTGCTGAAAACAAAAAACGACAAAAAGCTGAGAGTGCTTTCCTAATTAGAAATGGCATTGAGACAAACTGGGAAAATAACAGCAACATAGAAAAGCCTAATGAGCAATCTCTTGGTACTGAAGGTAGATTGGAGTGATGGAGAAGGATAGACACTGAGTCCTTACCAATAATATTTGGATTCTTAGTGTCACTAACCTTCCCCTGGATTTTAGAACTAATTTTGAGGGAAACCTCCCTGCAGCTCAGGAGGGACTCATCCCACTGGAGGCAGTTGCTCTTCCTCACACTAAACAGAGAAGACATGCAAATTGGGCCTCCTTCCTCTAGGGATGAAAACCAGAAAAAACCTGTGTCTGCAGATCGGAGAGGAGCTTTTCTTCTGTGTGGACTTTCTGTCCTAAGAACTGACACTGTGGGGCCCGAACAATGAGTTTTGGACAGAATGAATTTTCATTCTGACTCTTTTACGAGGTAGTTTTTTCTTTTGTTTGTTTTTTTGACCAAGGATACACTCTTTGAAGTAGTGTATTTGTGTGACTATTGTCTTCAATGACTCTTTGTTTGCAGGTGTCCATTGTGAGGTTCACCTGGTAGAGTCTGAGGGTGGTGTGAGACAGCCTGGAGGATCTCTTCCCCTCTCCTGCAAACCTTCTGGATTCACCTTCAGCATCTATTACATTAGCTGGGTCCGCCAGGCTCCAGGGAAGGGACTCGAGTGGCACGCATCTATTTATAGTAACGTAGGAAAAACATTCTATGCAGACTCTGTGAAAGGCAGATTCACCATCTCCCTGAACTACAGCAACGACGTGCTGCATCTGCAAATGAATTCCCTTAAAGCTGAGGACACAGCCATGTATTACTGTGCAAGAGACACAGTGAGAAAAAGGAGTACGAGAGCACACATAAAACTCCTCATTCAGACAGGCCACATGAGAGTGACTTAGAGAGAGAACTCAAGAACACGGAGTACAAGGAGACCACTTAGAATAACAGATGAAGCATGAGGCTGCAAAATTTGAAGAATCAGGCTGACAAAGTTTTCAAGGTCTGTGGATTCTTCCTAATTCACAGTGAACATCTAACCCTTTCTATCTATCTATCTATCTATCTATCTATCTATCTATCTATCTATCTATCTATCTATCTACCTATCTATCTATCTAATTTCCTTTGTGTTCCTGAGAATCTTTCCTATTTCTGTTGCTTGCAGCTATAGAGGGAAGATGTATCCCTTTAATGGTTTATATGTTTTGTCCACGGTGACTAATTTCTTTGTAGTTGTGAAACATGACACAGATCAGGTATTATTGAACATTTATTATGTATCCCATAGCATTTTCATACACGTGCATGTGGAAAACATACCTACCTGCATGTACATTCAATATATAAGTATATGTGTTTATACACTAACATATCTGTTATGTAGATGATCCTCCCAATGTGTATGTATGCAGATCAGCATGTGTGTGTGTGTATTTATATATATCCATGTATATTCATACATATAACAGAAGATCATGACGCTTTAATTGGAGGGAATCAGCCAGTTTCTTTTCAATCAGACCTCACATAATATGAACATTGTATTCCTTTATATTTTTCTTTAATCATGGATTTTAGGTAGTCCAATAATTCTTAAATTATCTCCCCTCAATCTCTTTTCCACATCAGTTGCTTTTCTGATTAACTATTTCACATTTTCTTCTATTTTTTTTTACACTTTTCATTTTGTTCTATTTTTTTCTTCATGTTTCATGAGTCTCATGCACTTTTGAGAGTCCCTTGAATAGGAAGGCGGCCAAATGAATCAATATTTAAAAATATTAGTTCAGGCTTTTACCTATAAGGTGAAATACAAAAACTAATGCTTAAATACTTTGGCCACATGATGTAGATGATATTCATTGGAAAAGATTTTGATCTTGGGAAAGACTGAGAGCAAATGGAATAGGGGATGACAGAGAATGAGATGAATAGATATTGTCATGTAAAAAATGAGCAACAACTTGGAGAGAGTTTGAAAGATAGCAGAGAAGGATCTGGTGTGCTTTGCCCATGGAGCATGAAGAGTTGGACATGACTGAATAGCTGAACAATGGTTAAATTGGTGAGAATTTATGAGATGACCAAATAACGTATGATGGACAAAGAAAAGAAGAGAGCATAGGGCAGAACCCCATGCAATTCCCGTGATGAGATGACACGATCTGTATGATGATCCAACAAAGGAGGGAAGAGGAGAGAACTCAGATAAACAGGGTAAGAACCAAGAGTGTGGTGTCCCAAAAACCTAAAAAGAAGAAAGTAACAAGGAGAAAAGAGTGCTCGTGTCAAAGCAACAGAGAGGTCAAACAGAATGAGGATTGAGAAAAAAGTGACCTCATCGCATGAGACAGGAATAAAGGAGATAATTGTTGATGGCATATTAGTGATATGAAATGAAAGAGAGAGGAGAAGAGGGAATTAGCAGACAATGGCCTCAGTTTTTATTTATTTTGCTGTTGATTTTCTGCACTAAAGAAAGTAATGCAAAAAATATTAGTAATGCACATCAAATTTAAAACTTTTCTAAGTGCATAATTTTGGGGGCAGAAGGATGCTTGTTAAACATTTTCTAGCATATAATTGGTTCAAAATGTCTTAATTTTCGAATTCTGTCTTCAGAACCTCAAGGTTTCAACCTGAATCTGAGGCAACTAGGTACACAGTGGATAGAGTGCTCAGCCTGGAGTTAGGAAGACCTGAATTCAGATCTGGGCTCAGTCACTTACTACCTGTTAATAGTCATTTAGTTTACTACCCTTGACAAGTCATTTATCTTTCATTTACCTCAGTTTCCACATGTGTATAAGAGGGATAATAACAGCACCTACCTTCCAGGTTTGTTGTGAGGATTAAATCAAATAGTTGTAAATTACTTTGTATAGTGCCTGGTACACAGTAAGTTTGATATAAATGTTAAGTATTATTGTTATTATCTGTATTTTTCCTCTGGTATGAAGTATCAACTCTGAAAACAAATGACTGAAGAATTATAAAGGTTTTGCAACTGCTGTTAATTATAAAAATACTAAAGGGCTCACTCAGGTGATTACAAGCACAGTTAACTCTGAAAAAAAAATGAAATAAAAGCAAAACCAGTGGTCATAAGCAAAAAGCTTTCTATATTCCACTGGAGGATGGAAACTAGCCCCATGAGCTGAGGTTTCCTCTAGGAGGAGATCCAAGGAAGTGATGCTAAACCTTGATATATGTAGTTGTAGTTAGACAAAGAATAGAACAATGCGGTCAGCAACAGTAGAGAGGCAAGGTTGTCTAGTGACAAAAAGTCCATTCTTAGCAGGGCTTCATGCCTGGGCCTGTTGGTGCTTGCCTGAACTTAGGAATTCAGTTCTGATTAGTTGCAGCAGTTCATGCAGAGGGTGAGCACAAAGGACTGTTGTTATGGTATTCTCAAGACAGAGCTTTCTTGTTGGTCCTTAGCTCTGGAAAACAGGGTGTCTCCTAATAGTGAAAAAAGAGGGGAGTAACAAAAAAAGAAGGGTGTTTTTGGCATGGGGATACTGACAGAAGGAGGAAAACCAATAATTCTGGTTCCTTTGAGTCTTTCGGAGTGTGCTAGTGAGTGACACAGTACATACATAACGTCTGATTTGTTGGTGTTTTTTTTTCATTTCCTTTTATAACACAAGGATATGTTTACTGTGAAGAATTTTCCTATGCTATCTTTCGTTTTAAACGTAAAAGAATTCATGATCTTTATTAGAGAATGTTTGATATTATACTAGTATATATCCATAGTATATATCCTATAGTATATAGGGAGGAATCAGCATTTTTCTAGACTTGTCTAGGCAACATAATGAGCAGGAAGAACCCATTGAGATTACATCTTAATGTCCTTTTGAAAAAATACTGAACTTTGAAAGAAAAGGGACAGGGAAGCTCCGAGTTTCCAAGATAATGATTACTAAGAAAAATCATTTGTCACATTCCCCCATCTGGTTCTAATGAGAGTGTAGCCTTCTCAATGAATCACTAACTGAAATGGTCAACACTTCATCAAGGGGTTTTGGGGACTTATGACAATAGGGGACAGGGAAAGAGAACAATTTTCAATTTAAAAGGGTAAGCACCCTTAGTAAGTACAGATGCAGAGACCCCAGGGGAAAAAATAAAAATAAATTGTCCTTTAAGGATTCAGAAGTGTCTTCTCGTACAGCTGTCTTGTGTTCAGGACATCATCTGATGAAGTTTCCTGTTGGAGTATTGCCAAGTGATCTCCAGCAGACTGTCTTCTTAAAAATCTTGTGGAGAGAACTCCTTTTCTTTGTTAAAAGTTTCCTACAAAATTGATCTTAATACAATTTTAAATGATCTTGCTAATAACCAGGTCAAATTATGCAAGTTAACTCAGCCTTTATGTCTGTAATATTATAAAATAAAAATTGGAACGTTGACCAAGTGTCATTTGAAAAACTCAAATGAAAAAAGGAAAATTAGAACCCAGTTTTCATACTTCACAACTTCACTTTATTTCCACCATCAGAGGATGAGATTCCATTAAGAAATTAATAGCAGAACCTGTTCAAAAAGATAGACTCTGATACATTGAGTGATCAATTTGAAAACAGTACATATCAATAATAAATTCCAACTTCTGGTCACTTTCAAATAAATACCCTAATTAAAGTAGATGCTTCCTTGAAGGCATGTGCAGGAATACTTGATTTAACCAAATAATTTTAGCTGAAATTTCCATTTATGGCAAAACTTCAAAGCTCATGGGACATGGTTCATGAAAGAATTTGTGTGCTTAAATATACATATATAACAAGGGTTCTTATAATAGATTTTCATTAATTGGAAAAAAATAGAAGAAAAATGGGTCAAATGTAAGCTCTTCTATCGTCATTTGAAGCCTTTTACAACTGCCTTTCTACCACTTCTTAGTTTTTACAAAATACTCACTATATCATATTGCTGTTCCATACACAAAACACATCATCTCCTAACTCCATTTGCATTTCTTTCCCCTTGATGGGAATGTACTACTCCTAACCTTCATTTCTTGAATCCCAGTTTCCTTCAAGACCAAGTTAAAATGTTATTTATATAAACCTTTTTTGATCCCCTTTCATACTTGTGCCCACATTCTCACACTGCTATTTTGTATATATCGATGTTGTCTACATCATTAAAATGTAAGATGAGATGCTTGAGGCAGAAATGATTTCATTTTTGTCTATGTACCTCCCCTACTTAAAAAAGTTTCTGTGTATAAGTTCCTTAATAAATGTTTGATGATTGCCTGATAGATGCTTCTCTTTTTTTTATCCTGTCACTAGCAAATATGGTTAACTACTTATTATTGTAGATATTTATTGTGTCTCAGTAGGATGACAAGTGCTAAAAAAAAAAAGAGAAAACTGTGTATTCCCCATATTTTTCCATTCTCTCTACTCTGCCTCTAACATTGAGCCCCAAAGTTAAAATTTACAAAGTCTAAGAGAAGTCACATCTCCTCTGATCCTTCAAATCAGCATCAAAACATGTTTTCACCCCTACTCCCCAATCCTATAGTTACAGAGAATGGGTGAATGTGGCAGTGTTAATTCTTTCAATGGAAGTGTTATGCACTGTGAAGAGCACTGGATTTTGAGTCATTCCTGAAAGAAGCAGTGATTACAAGATTCTGTATACTTCATACAGAGTAGCTGACATCAGACTAATATAATTTCTATTTTTGACAGAATCAATAAACTAGTATAGAGGGAGTGCTGGATATTGCTTTTCTATATATTAACAAAGTATCTCATACTTTTTGTGAGGAAGCTAAAGATATGAATTAGATGATAACACTATGATTCAGAGCTGTTGGTTGACCTGATTCAAAGAGCAGTTTAAGTTCAATGTGGTAGAGATTCTAGTGAAGTGCCCA